TCCCGCCCTGGCGGGGGGTCGGGCTAGAAGATCTACTAGGTCCCTTCCGACCCTTAATCTATGAATCTATGAAAAAGAGTGAAGGCAAGATGGTTTCTAATTTTCATGAAGTCAAGTCAAGTAAGAAGCTTTGAGTAGCTAAGTTTCAATGAACAACTATTGATACTTATGAAAAAGAGGAAAACTTCACACCAAAATGGGACATAGAACAGAGAAGGGAAAATAAACGTGCAAATCTATATTGACTACTGCAGGGCTTGGTTATTTCAAGAGATTTGGAAGTAGCAGAGTCAGGAATTGACCTTATTTGGCCATCTGAAAGCACTACAGGTTGTTTAAATACATCTATGTTACTGGCCTTCTTAGCTTCTGTTTGCCTTTGCTACCTAACTGATCTCCCACATGCTACCTAGACGAACCCTTGATAGGTCTTGGTTGTTAGCTGGCATAATCAGGTTCCATCACCTCTTCAAAAGAGAGGTACCAGGAAGCACAGGCCTTTATGGAAGAAGGCAAGTTACTTCTGGACACTTACGTATCTGTTGTCATTTAGAAACAAACATGACCCATATCATCTCCTTCTGCGGAAACTTTTCTGGAGTACTTTTACAAATCAGGATGTTTATCCAGATTTACTAGATACTCTGGATAATAAACCTTTCACCCAATCATGAGCTTTACACCTCCAACTGCAAAGATGATGAGAACAACTCTGGAAAAGGCACAAGACTCATGCAAACAACTATAACAGCACACTGCTAACTGATACTCTGGGTTTGCTAAAAAGAATCTCTGTAAACAGATTACGTCACTTTGAGGAAGGTAAATGACCACGTTTCTGATGGTAGGCCTGATGAGAGGAGACTGACCAACAATATAGGTTTTTAAATAGTAAAATATTAAGAATAAAAAACTGAAAACAAAATCATGTGGCTTCATTATAAACAAATTTGAATAGCCAATCTTGCATTTTACTTCCTTTAATATTAAGACAAGCGGGCAAGAAGATTATTTTTTCCCCATGAAAGACAGGAGTTTTCTATTGACTTGGGCAGAAATTAAAAATGATACTTTTATGAAGAGACAAATCTTTGCTCGTCATTTTGAGGCTAAATTATGGATTAAAACCTTCCCAAGAGCCAAAAAAAGGCTGAGTAGAGAGATCCCCTGTGATAACTATTCAAGAGTAGCAGTCATAGAATTAACAGTAGCTCTTGACCTATTATCAAGGCTTCTTAGTATCTTTATGCATACTACAAGATTATCTTTCTTGTCCTACAGATGAATGTTGAAAGAAGAAATCATTAAAACCTACTAGAATTTAAATTTTAGCAATTAACATCATTTTCTGCCAATGGATAAAAGTAATTCAGCTCCTGAGCAGCCAAGAAGAATTCATGCCCTATCAATTTATAAAGACCCAATCTACACTTATTCTTGTCTAAATTTTTCATTCTCTTTTTCCACTTAAGGAAGATTAAAAATGTTCATTTAAACAGAGTGATTTCAAAGTCACCATATTAAACTCATCATACCTTGGTGTAAGTTTATTTTGAAACAACTTGTGTAACAAAGCAATTATTTCCCATGCAGAAGACAAAAACCTTACATAAGTGATTTACGATGGAACGAATATCAAGGGGAAGAATACAATACACTCAGATTATAAAAACAGACCGGACAATGCACAAGAAAAAAATTAAGTCAACTTGTACAAAGCCATTTTCATGTTTGAGAAGACTCTCAACTTTTGCCTTCCAAACAATATATAATCTATCAATGCTAAAATGGTTCATGGAGAAAACACTAGAGGTCAGCAACACACAGTCTTCTATACCTACTTCTGTTTACTACATCCCAGTGTAATATGCTTTTCCTATTCTTTTTATTTAACTTTAACAAGTTTATTATTTAACTGTATTACCTACAAATATCTGAAAAGAAAAGCAATATGTACATTCCATCAACTGAAAATTAGTATAAAGCATCAGTTTTAAATGGTTAAAAAGGTTACGGGAGGAGAGGGCGGCGAAGGAGGAGGGAGGCATATAGAATGCCTTGCAATTGGTGACTAGACAAGAAATCTGCTAACAACACGTAAAAATGTTAACTGTTAACATGCTCCAGGACTGCATACAAGAGCACCTAAAAGACTATCCTACTGTCCTTTCACTTCCATGCTTCTAGCATGCTACTGATTCAAAGACAGACAAGAAACTAGTAATAATTTCAAAACCCGTGTGCATCATCTCCAGCACTATGCAAGTAAAACAACTCTGAATCTTTTCTGTTCAGTTATTCCTGGACCAGATGTCTGCACTGTAATGAAAGCAGACAAGGTTCTTTGGCTGAATCCATTATCTTTTATTAGACCAACTTAAATAGTTGGAAAACAATTATTAAGCAAGCTTTCAGGTTCAAAAACCCTTCATCGGGCTAAAGAAGTTTCAGCAGTTGGTGTGTGCTCTTCCTGGATGGGATGAAACCAAAACGGCTACAACCTACACCCCTGTAATGAAAGCAGCTCTCCAGGGAATTGAACAGAAATCAGAAGATCAGGTTATGCTCACCATGACTTATGGCCTTAACAGCCCTAAGAACAGAACTGTATTCAAAGAAGCATTAATAAAGGGCACCAAGAAAAGCTCCACATATTTACAGAGGTTTGCCATAATGCAATTTATGCTATTTATACATAGCCATAAATGAAAAAGCAGGGGGGCAAAAACTCCCTGAACTAGTACCAATAAACAGACATACAGCCTAAAAACACCTCATTATGGAACATGTTTTCAAATCCAAAAACAGAAAATGTTGTTTGCTTACACAAATGAAGAACGTCATGTTGCCCACAACATACGGTCAAGAGATATTATAATTTGAATCACACATGGGATTAATAAAGGTAAAATGACAAATGAAGCAGTTCTTGAGTCTTTTCTGGTTACTTTATGAAACAAATTTAACTGCCTTGTGTAAAAAGAATCTGTATGAGAAGCAGAGTGGCCTTCTGGGTCCCAAGAACAGATTCCACCCCAAAAGAAAGGAGAAACAACAACCTCTTGCTTCATCCTTAGAAACTGCCCACTTATCAGGTCCAAATCAAAGCAACCACTAGTGACCAGGGATCCTAGTTTTCCATTATTAAAAAAAACAGCAACAAAATTCTTTGATAAAAACAAACATAAAAATCTGTGTTTTTCCACAGTGAGCCCCTGCCCCACGCTGACAGGCCCTGGTGGCAGCCCCATCCCTTGCTGCTGACTAGCCAAAAAGGGCTACCCTTCAGGCAGCCACACCCCCCACTGGTTTGGTGGAGTAGGGCAGGACTGCACAACAGGAAGCCCTCTGGGCTAATCAGCAACGGAGGGAGGAGGGGGTGGCCACTATCTTGGCTGTCTCCCTGTATGCTGGTGGCTTCTTCCCCTCATTGGGCTGCTACAGCAGCTGTAAAACCATTGGCTCCCACTAGAGAGCCAGCATTTTATTTTCAGTAAGTTTTATTTTTGTCCCTTGGTGATTCTAAAGATTCTCTGTAAAAACACAAATTCCATGTTTTTCCGCAGCAAACAGATTTATAGGATCCCTGCAAATAACTAAGGATCAAAGGCTACAACACATGTCTTTATCCTGAAAGATAATAAAAAAGACCATGAGACCAATTGCCTAAAAGGACAACTCAATTTTGAAACTGCAAAACAGATGTCTTGATATGTCAACAGCTACCTCATAGGTCTGTATTCCTAAAGAGACTAATGTTTCCTATTCTAGGGAAAAAAAAAATAATGACATCACAATAGGAGTTCTGGGACTATTAATCAGATAATCATTTGAACCATATGGCAAAGTACAACTGAGAAGATGATACAACCCTTTAATGCTTTTTTCTGCTGTTTCATGCAAAACAGCATAAAAAAAGCAAAAGATCTCTTTCACCCATTAGAACAATTTAATCAGTAAATTTTAATTGGCCAAAGCAGCCTAAATAAGGGCTTCTGTGATGAAAAGCACCAAAATCCTAGAAAAGAAAAAGAAAAAAAAAAAAAAGATCCATGTTCCCAATCCAGGGATGATTTAAAGAGCAATGGTCTACATATTAAATAGAAGAATCCCATCTTGCTTCTTCCCTGTCATGAGTCACCAAATGAGACATCTAGAATCAGAAAACAGGGATGCACCTCAGACCAGAGGTGCTACAAACCCTACTTATTGTGGTATAAACCCTATTTAAAAATAGGGTTTACAGCACAATATTGAAACACCCTAAAGTCCACAGGCAACCTTTAAGTATGTAATTGTGAACCACAATTATGAAGGACACAACAGAACACTGAATCAGGAGACTTAACTACTAGGTAACTCATCAATTAACACCAATCAACCAGTTAAATGACAACCCATAATTTGACTACAGTCAAATATTGCCAAACATTCAGCAGGTCAAAATGCCTCAGTACAGCTGTGTCACACAAACTGGTTGGAGAACTACATTCCCTTTTTTTTCAGGTGCCTATAGGGCACACCCCAGCTTTCATGCTGGAAGCTCCGCTCCACTCCCCAAAACAGCACTATGGGTCACAAGTTGTAGTCCCTAACCCTGCAGAGACACTATGGCACTGGCAACCCAGGAGTACTACTAGCAAAGCCCAAGCTCAATGGTGACTAGACATCCTGAGGTGGCAGACAGCACCCTGGTAAGAGCTGTGGTGACAGTAACCCAAATAGTAACTCAGGCAGAAACTCCACCTTTGTGGTCAGAGCTGCAACAGGGCTTCTGGCAGCAGTCAGCACTCCAGCTTTTATTAGGACACAGGCAGCCCCAACATCACTGTGGTCAGAGGCTCCTCCACCACTGGGACCAGAGTTCTGGTTCTAGCTGCAGTGGCAGGGCTTCCCATGGAGAGAGACAAAGAGCGAGCCAGCAAGCAAGCAACAGAAAGAGAAGTTTTAAGTAAGACAATTTTGCAAGCTAATCACTCTTAGACTCACTTCTCTAGTCACCAACTATAGAAATGATCCCTGAAAGTACTGTCTTCAATTCTGTCAAAACTGAAAATCTTGTCCAAAGGAATTACAGATAGAACAGTCCTCTAAAATTCCATAGGTAGAGTAAGCCCTTAGGTACTGCAAATTTAATGAAGGAAGAATATTCTAATATATGGTAGTACCTCTTGCTTTTTTACCTTAGAGCTCATATACATGAGGGAATTCAGAAGAGTTCATATCTTCAGTTGATTTATGTACCCAAGTTAAAATGCATTCATATTTTTATACAAAGGCTCTCATTCACAAACAAAATAGCTTTCATTCACCCTGGTATACTCCTTTTCTGGGATGCATATTAACATAGGAATATAGAGAGAGGCGCTTAGCCATGTTAGTCTGAAGTCAGGCAGAAGGTAGGGCAGGGCAGCACCTAATTACTGGAAAAGAACCTCTATGCCATCAAGTTCATTTACTGCATTTAAAGGCAACCATTTGTTTAAAAAAAATTAGTTAGATAACATAGGCTCAGATGATCCTAGGAAATGGATCACTATCAAGAAAAACCAGTCCTTGTCAGAGACCCTGAGAGAAAATACCTTCCCCACCCTTAATTTGGCCACTTAACCTCTAAATAACAGGGGCATATGAATCACCAGCCAGGCAGCTGGAAAGTTTCTCAGCACACCCAAGCCACTCCAAGCCAACACGTGGTGCATGATGTTATCAGGCACCGCTCATAAATGCAGAAGAACAACTTTCCTTTTAAAGCACACCAGACTCCAGCCCTGCCAGTTCTCCTGGAAACAGAGGCATAGGGGATAAAATCCACCTACCCCATGTGCCTCTGTTTCCAGGAGATGCAATGCAGGGTTGGACTGGAAAGGGCTGTGGCAAGAGTTGGCTCTCCTGCCTGCTAGCAGAACCCAGAGGTTCATTCAAATCTAAGGCACACCTACCTAAAGCTAAGGCACACATGTTACTACAATGGCTATAGAAACTGGAAGAAGGAACAACTTTCCAGCTAAGCTGAGGCAGTACAACAGCGGTTTTCACCTGGGGGTACCATGTTCAAAAAATTTGGAGAGGCTGCCTTGACTTGTAAAAAGTTGAGGACCACTGACAGATTATAATTCTCCCACTAGTCATTTTTCTTGAGTTATGGTAAGGGTTTAAGGACCTAATTACAGAATATCAGTAAGTAGACTGCTTGGCTCCCCAGGAGCATGGAGTAAGGACTTCCTGCAGCATGATCCAGAAAAATTCTACTCTGATACTGCTACTGGTTTACTGACTACAGTATACTCCATTTATATGCATGCCAGATAAGTGCATTATTTGATTAACAGCATAATACACTATCAATTCCAAATATAATAAATAATGATCATCTGCCTATGAGTTAAATCTCCATACCACTTCAAAGACTCTTTCAACTCCAACATCATCTTTATGTAATTTTACTACATACTAACTGGCACCAAGGTGCTGTGAGAAGCTTTAAACTTTATGGGAACTAAATGGTTCAGGGCTGCAGTCTGCCACCATTTTCAAGGCTTTTAAACAGTACCCCTGAAACAGATTATCAGAAACTTGGAAAATGTTGGGACCTAATCAGTATTGGGGCTGCAGTTTCTATGGCACTATGTACTTGCTCATATTAACTTTGGGTAAGTGCATACTGTGGAAGAATGCATAGCTTTTTTCAGTCCTAGGCCATCCACTTAAAACAAGTACACTGCATTTTAGCATCAATTTCCCAGTCAGACTGGGAAGGGCACAAGTGCGCTCTCCTACTTCATAAGGATTCTAATTAGCCTAAAGCAGGTAGGAGTACCACAGCCCTTTCGAGTGTGCATAGAGCACTTCTATCTGGCCACAGTATCAGTGCCCACACTGTGGCAACCTGGTTGAGAACCAATGATCTGTGTTCCTGAAATACTTAGAGAAAAAAAATCTTCTCATTCTAAGGGACATTTCCTTTATGTAAGCCATGTCACGTGTGCACTTCACTTTTCCTTTTTGAAAGGGGGAGGTTATACCTATCTTCCCATTCACTGGAATCTATGACAACTGCTCTACAGGTGATCTCCAAGGTCGGACATCACCCAGCCTTTGCTAGTCAACTTGTGTAAGTCTCATTTAAATATACAACATTTATTTCTGTCTATTCTCTAATGTAGAAGCCATGATACACTGCTAAGTTAGTGGGCTAGAGTAAAGAAAGAAAAAACAAACCACCTCTTCTGCTAAGAATTCCCATTCAGACAGACAGCTCAACCAATTCCCATTGTCAGCCCAGTAAGTTTCCCTTTTCCATAAACACATACAATAAAGCACAACAGGCAAATATATGACTGAACTGTGCTGCACCCAAAAATCTTAGGTGGCTCCTTGGGGTCCACAGCCATCCAATGTTGACTGTTATGGGAGAGGAAAAACAGGAAAATTACCACCTTTCATCTCTACTTCTTGAACTCCCTAATTAAACCTATAATGATGGAACTAAAGTCAGATTCATTTATACTGCAGAATTAGACAGAAGACAGATCTAAGTACAAATACTTCCCTCCTCCAAATTATTTTCTGTTTACTACTACCCTGACCATGATAAACTATATCTGAAATAACAGAGTAGCCTTTTCATGTAGCCTTTAAAATACCATGCATGAGAAATGCCAAATAATGAACAAAGTAGCAACACTACTTTGGCAGTCATGTCAGACCAACCTGATTGCCTTTTACGATCAGGTCACAAAGGCCATGGATGCAGGTGTCGCGGTGGATGTAGTCTTTCTGGACTTCAGCAAGGCCTTTGACACCATCTCTCACCCCATCCTAGTTAAAAAACTAGGCAACTG